TCTACCCACTCTTACCAGACTTCCCTCTGCAGTAATACAGTGAATTCCATAATGCTGCCCTTCATCACCTTTAGGCAGGCATGTTACTTTCACCTCAGATTACATGAGTCCGTATTATATTTTAACTGCTTTTAAAACCTTCCACCGTCCCAGCTGTGGAACATAGCTTAGTTTGCCAATAGCTCATGAAATACCTTAGAGGCTCCATTTCCAAGAGGGAACCCAGTAGTACTCCTATTGTTCTTTATGTGAGCTTGAACACACTACTGGCTCATAATAAATTGGTGGTCAACTAAAATCCTATCCAGTTAGATCTTCCTACTTTAGTACTCACAGTTTAATTACTTTAATCTAATACAAGTCTTAAGGCTTATCCTTGTTAAGTTTAATTCCATAATGATTCTGATTTCATTTTCTTGTCAAGATCATTTTGAACTTTGATTCTTGGTGTTATCTAAATCTGACAGGGCACTTGCTAAATCTACAACCAAATCAATGATAAAAACTTAGGTATGCGGGGCTGGAGTTGTGGCTCAGTGGCAGAGAGCATGTGTGAGGCCCTGGGTTTGATCCTCAGCACAACATAAAAATAAAATAAAAGTATTATGCCCAACTACAACTAGAAAATAAAATATTTTTTTTTAAAAATTTATGTATGAAAGAGCACTAAGATGTAATTAACACTAAGCCACCAAATATTCTTTGAGTAAAGATGTTTATCTAGCTGCAAATCTATTTAGTATTTACAAATCTATTTCAGTCATGTGGATAACGGAAAAATCAGACAAATCCTTTAATGAAATCAAGATGTTATGTCATGGGCATCTCCTGAATACACTATCCTCATATTCTTTTCAAAGAGGCAATTATAAGATCTTAACACGATGGTTTTGAAGTAAACTAATCAAAAATGTGCACAAACTACATTGGGGTTTTAGCCAACTGTTTTCTAAATCTACTCTCTTTAAAAAGATACTTTAGGAGTCAAATAAAATAACTATTCTATGGTTAGTTTATAATTAAATGGTTAAAACAACAGATTTGTGGCTAACTGCACACATTTTATTCAATATAACAGGCTAAAGATCACCATTTCCAGAAGAAAACTGTCCTCTTGAATGAAATAAATTGTGTCTCCCCTGCCTAGATATCCACTCTGAATTCAGAGAGTCCTCTCTGAAAACTGATCCAAAATGACTTACAAATTACTAAGGTGACTCCGACTATTCCAATAGTACCCAGGGTTACAATTCCACATCTTAAAATGTAAGCAATCATAATGCAATCATATACATCACATATACTAGACTTCAACTTTAAAATATACTTATTTGGATTTTCCCACTTTAAAATCATTCTTTGGGCTTATGAAAAAGAGGCAAAATAAGAAGTTGTTGTTCTATAGTACAATATAGCACTCCAGATGAGGACCTTGAAGCCCAAATGCTTGGATCCAAATCCCAGCTCTATCATTTATTAGCTGTGTGACCTGGAACAAATTATTTAACCTCTATGCCTTAATGTATTTCTAAGTGTGAGTAACAATAGTACCTATCTTAGAGAGTTATGATTGGAATTAATGAGTTAATATGTATCAAGGATGTTTTGGTTTGGAAATGGTTTTGGTGTTTCCCCCAAAGGTTCATGCGCTGGAAGTCTGGCCCCAGTGTGGCAATGTTTAGGTCTGGTGGGAGATGAACAGGTCTTCAAGAGAGATTAATGATGTTCTTCCAGGAACACATGTGAACAGGTTGTTATAAGAAGCCTATAATCTCTCCTCCATCTCTCTTCCACATGCACTGCCTGCCAGTTTCTCACACATTCAAACCATTGTAATGCCATCTGCCATGAGGCCCTCACCGAACCCAGGCAGATGCCAGCACCATACTCCTGTATCTTCAGAATTGCAAGATAAGTGAAGCTCTTTTTTTAATAAAGTTACCAGGCTAAGATATGTTGTTATAGCAACACAAAATAGACCAAAACAAAGGGCTTCTAATAGTGCCTGCCACACAGTGAGCATCAGATGTTTAGAAAACAGAAAATATAGCTGTTAGCTGGAACTATTCCTTTTTTCTTTTGGTACTGGAGATTTAACCCAGGGGTGCTTTATCACTGAAATACATCCCCATCTTTTTAAATTTTTTATTTTTTTGAGGCAGGGTCTCACTAAGTTGCTTAGGCCTCCATTAAGTTGCTGAGGTTGGACTTGAACTTGCACTTCTAATGCCTCAGTCTCCCAAGTCGCTGAGATTACAGATGTGTGCCAGTACACCCAGACTGGATTTACCATCCTTGATCATCTATTAACATTGCCCTTTCTCACCCATTTTTTTCTTGTGCTTATTCTGAAAATAGAAGTATGATATAATGATTAGTTAAAAGTTGGGCTTTAAAGTCAGATTGAGCCCTGGTTCCACAACTTAATAGCAATATTACCTTGGAAAATAACCTAACTTCTAAGTTTCTTCATCTATAAAATGAGGATAAAAACAATAACTATATCATTGAGTGGTTGTACAAAGTAAATGAAAATGAATGTTACTTCGCATGATACTGGCACAAATAGTATGTACTGAGTGAATCTTTGCTAAAAATTTCTTTCTTTTTTTTACCCCTTAGTATTTTGGTAGGCACAATATGGACAAGTCCACTCTCTTTCTGATAGCCTTACAGGTTTATGATTCTATTTGGCACATTATCTTTAGTTATATACCTCTCTGTGTATTTGTTGATTTTCTGTGATTTGCAGACAGATTCTTCTCTTAACATTCCTCCTCCTTTCTTTTCATCTTGGATTGTTCATGTTACATCAAAACTTTAAGAATTTTTTTGTTATATGTGAACACCATTCTTTTTTGGAACCTATAGTCATAAGATTGAGCCCATATTTTTTCCTGAAATATATGCTTTCTGAAACACAGAATTTATGCTCAGTGAACTTTTCACTGTTATTATAAGCTGATTTTTCTCTCAAGAGTCTATCCCTTCTGCTTGCCAATCACTTGTAAAAATTAAACCCAGAATAATGGTCCTCTCCTCTGTTTACTTTACCTTATCAAATCACTGATAAGTCAAAAATTATCAAAATTAGATACTCTTAGAATGAGACTTCTAAAAGATAAGTAGATGACTACAGAATACATTACTACTACAGTCTGTTTCTAAGACTTTTTGTTTGTTTGTTTTTGTGTTGGGGGATTTTTCCCCCCTTTGGTGGTGTTGGGGATCAAACCCAGAATCTCACACATGCTAGGCCACGAGCCACACCTTCAGCCCTCTCTATAAGTTTTATAAACCTATATTAGAAACCATCATCTACAGTCCCCATCATGCTGAAATTCTTTAAGTAATTTTTACAATGGAACATTATTCTGTTCCTTTTTTTTTAGAAAAAGCCTCTCTACATTTTTATCCAACATGCTGGCTTCTATATTCTTTATTCCCTCCCTCCCTCCCTCCCTCTCTCTCCTAGTTCCTCCTAGCTTTCCTTATTAGATATTTGTTTTCAACAAAGCATTTTCCAGTGGCCAGAATCTTTCACGAATACTATCCTAACCTTCTTGGTGATAGGTATATTCCTGTTAAGTATTTTCTTTTTAATCGGTATTGCATTAGCATATAAAAACATTTATATGTACAAGGTATTGTTCCCAATCTGTTCCCTTTATTTCTGTCATATGATTTCTTCCTAAGTTATTTATTTTGATAATTTTATCTGGACTTATTTTTCCTTCTCTACTGATAAATTTAATAAGCCTCCAGATACTCATTACTGAAAGCTACTCTACCTGGAGCTCACTAGTATGGCATTTAACAGTACAGTTCAAGAAACCAAATGCTCCTCTGATACCATCCAACTCCTAATTGCCATATCTATCCTTGTGTTCCAAAGTTATAAACATCAAATGGAGATATAAAAAGACAAAAACATGCCTGTTCCACAGAACTTCAAAATCCCTGAATTTCTTCTAAAATTTCCATGAATATATAAGAAAAATTTTTGACTGAATTGCAAACAGTAAGATTACAAAGACCGTGTATATTTACTTACTACTGCCCAGCGCCTCATACATATTAGACCAGAGGACACATACGTTAGCCTATAGACCAAATCTTGCTCACTGTTTCTGTATAGTTCACAGCCAAAAATGGTTTTTACATTTTTAAAAGGTTGTTTTAAAAAAGGGAAAGAGATGGGGCGTAGCTCAGTGGTAGACCATATACTTAGCATGTGGAAGGTTCTAGGATCAATCCCTAGCACCAAAAAAAAAAAAAAAACTAGAAACAAAAGAAAGAAGAAAATGGAAAATGTGATAGAGACCATATGTGACTCACATCTGGCTTTTCTTAGAAAATATGCTGTCCTCTATATTTGTTAAAAGAGAAGGTACGGGAAGAAGAGGGAACTATAGGTGATGGTGGAAGAAAAACAGATTTGCAACAATTTTAACTGGAAATCACAGCAAATAGGAAAACTCACACAATAAAATATACATATCTTTAAATTGTTCCTTGGCTTTCATTTTCATTAAGTTCCAAAATAAACAAAAGGTCTTTTAATTATCATATTCTGTAGATTTTTCTTTTTGTAATTAATCTATTTTTCAGTCACAGGTACTCCTAGAACTAAATTTAAACCTTAAGAGAATATTTTTTCTCCTAGTTAACAAAGGTTAGTCATCAGTAAGGTGTCATCCACTGTAAGGTGGCAATTTATAGGTGTGTCCCCTCATACATACATTCTTCCCTTCCACACAGCATCTAATAGCTAAGCCCTAAGCAACACTCCATGACATTTTACTCATCTGTTCCAATTTGACTACATACCTAATTCTTCAAAATTTAATCATGTATAATATCTCACAGCCCTGAAACAAAACTTTGAAAACTAAAAAATGTTTAACCCAAACACAAAAGTCATGATCTCAAGTAATATAAAAAAGCAGTATTCAACCCATTCATATCACTGTCTACTGAAAGCACATGTACAGGTGTACCTGAAAGTGCTGCTCCATCACTTGGATTTTCCCCTGGTCTGGGCACTTTTTCAGAGCTCTATCTGCATAGTGGAATAGGATTTCTACCATCTGTAAAGAAAAGAGCCTGACATAGAAATCAAAATATACCTCCCAAGTTTTTCAAAACTTAATACATGTGTTCCTCCTAAATAATATAGAATCAGGCTTTGTTATTTTATTAAAAATACAATTAGAATACTTAGCGGCTTTATTTCCTGTTTTTAAGTGTAGCATAATTTCTTTCAGCATCAGGGCTAGTACTAATTTCCTAATCTCTCCTAAGAAATATTTCCATGTTCTAAACCTCAATACTATCTATATTTCTCAGGAAATTAAAAAACTGAAGCTGCCAAGTTTTGCTCTAAAAAGTATGGATGAGCAAATCATTCATGAATCCAAATCCCAGGGTTTTCCTCTTCCTTTCTGCTGTCTTTTGACTATGGTACTATTTTATTATTTTCATATGAGAGTGAAGAGGGGGTGCATGATAAGGAAACTTAAAAAGCATTAAAGATGACACCACAGAATTATAACCTGACAAGTATCTTATATACTTCCTCTATGACTATAGCCAATTACTTAATCATGTGCAAAATATTAGCAAATATGAAGCAAATATGTACTGCACCCTAGTGAAGACTACCTTAAAGTACTCACCCGATCTGCCACGACAGCCTTTCGTTTACTGGCATCCCCTGATAATCCTGCAGAGAAACAAAATCCAACATAAAAACAAAAGTTAGTAACATGTGTTCAGGAGTGAGCCTGTGTTCTGCTAGTCTCTTTACATCCTTTGCTAAGAACAGATACAATTATAACAAGCCTTAGTCTCAAAATATTGGCCCAGACAGCATACAATGAACATCCCCCTTCTGCTTTCATAATAATTTTTTCTTATGAAAGAATTTCAAGAAGTGACATATCAATTTCTATACCCTCTATTTATTTACTTACCCACTACAGCTTTTGCTTTTCCTTCATGGAAGGACCATGCAAGAGCCAAGGCTTCTGTAAGACAATCTTGTTTCAGGAGATGATCCACTCTCTAAAATAAATAAATAAAATAAAGCTAGATCCCCTTGTCTGTCCAACCACTAGTCAAATTCCTATTCTACCTGCTATCTATCCAGAATGTCAATGTAGCAGAAATGGAGAGCTGTTTAACACAACATCTATTCACTCTCACCTCCTTAGTATAAGTCACAAGTATATCTGAATTCACCAGCTAAACGAACTTTCTAAGACTCCCTTGTAGCTACTTGAGGCAATGTAATTAAACTCTCATCAATGATAAGTGGAGTGTCTTCTGGTATTTCCATGATGTATCCTTAAAAGATAGCCAGCCTTTATTTTCTCTTTCCTCCTTCCTAGAACATAGACTTAACAGCTGAAGTTCTGGCAACCACACCTGATTATAAAATGATCTTTAGTCTAGAATTCATTAAAAGATGGTATAACAGGGCAGCATACTTAAGACCATGGAGCACACATACTAGCCACAGGCTGCCTATCTCCAAATTAATTTTATATAAGAGAGAAACCTTGTGTATGCCACTATTATTGTGAAATTCCTGATCATGTAGCCAAATTTAATTCTAATTTATACAATAAGTTTTAGCAAACCATGTACCTAACAGTTATAATCATTTTATGTATACTTCTGAAATTAAAAAGCACCAATCCAAATAATCTTCAGCAAAGCCAAAGCAATTATTAAGATACTCTAACATATAAAATTACTTTGAACTCACCTCTCTCCAGCTCCTCAGCATCATTACATAAACAGACTAGAAAATTAAAGAGAAGAAAATTAAAATAACCATCTTAACGTTGTTTAGGAGACACAACTGTCCAAGTCATCTCATTTTAGATCTCTCTAAGTAAAAACATTTCACACTACAGTTAGAAGTATCTCTTAGAATTTACTAAAGGGTCTCCAAATGCTCACATTAAAGAGTAAGCTAAATATTTAAAGGCCAATAAGACTACAATCCAAGGATTTAACCTCATGGACAATGAATAAACAAAGTCCAGGCTCACCCCCCTGTATTGACTTGACAATATTTTGGGTGAATTTTAATAATAAAGAAATGTTTCTCCATTACAAATTGCAAAAAAATAAATAAAAGCACTGGAACATATTGATACACAGAAATTTTCTATTCCCACGATTCTATTCCAAGTTAAATGTCTCAATGCATTTTAATGTATCCTGAGCTGATCTAAGCTAAAGACCATCTTAATTATATGATAACATACATGGTTTCATTTATCTTCCTGATCATTAAAACAAATAGTAAGGGAAGTTATCAAAGCATATCCCTGAATCAAGATAATAAGCATCCTATCAAAAGTAAAAATGGGTCTAAAAGTGGAGGAAAGAAATTAATTAAATACCATAACTACCTAACCATTGAGTTTTGTATTAGGCCTGATCAGTATTTACTTTGCAATATACTACCCTCTTTAGCAGCAACCTCATTCTGCCCCAACTATCCTGATACACACAAATACTAAATCAAGAGTGAAAGAGCTTACTTTTGTCCCCAAATAAAATATCTGACCACCGTAACTACTGATGGATTGATAACAAGCCTTCTCTCCAACCAAAGCCTGTTAAAAAAAAATGCACAAGGTAAAAATTACATGCATTATAAGGTTCATGAAGTTTCAAAGAATGACAATTACAGAGATATTTTAGGTCAACAGAGTCTCATCATAAGTGAGTGGGAAAAAAAATGTCAATCGATTGCCAGTGTGACAGTAGAAGTGACATAGAAAAGACAAAGTTCAAGAAATAATTCTCTGCTTACATAAATAGCCTGCTTATTTTTCCAGAATTATGTGAGAGAGGGAAAAAACATGCCAAACTGTAAACATAAACTGTTACGCCCTATGTCTTACCGGGTGGCAGGTAGTCACTACTTCTGGAAAGGAATGGGACTGACTAGAAATGGTACCTCCAAGTTCTTTGAAATACATATTACATAAAACACAAGAGGAAACAGGAAGACAAAACAGCATAGTATATGGGAGTCAGCACAGCAAGCAAAATAGAAAAGCTCATTAAATCTGAGTCATAAACTTTGGCTCTGCCACTTACTGGGTATGACATTAACAAATTTCAAAACTCTTGACATTGTTTTCCCATCTCTGAAAAACTCTGCACATTTTATGAGGCTTAAATGTTAATATTCATAAATGTGCCAAAATATATATGGTCAATACCAGATACCTATGATGTTTCTAACTTTTTTATTTGGGGAACTTAAAATGTATATAAAAGTAGAAAGAATAATAATCAATCTCTAATTGTATTCATTAATCAGCTTCATCATGATCAACTCATCACCAAACTTGTCTCAGCTATTTTTCTACCACTGCAACATAATATAATACTGAAGTGAATTATTCTGAATATCTCATTGATAAAAATTATTACATATTTTTAAAAAATGAGTCCTTTTAACATAATTGCAATACCATTAACATACTTTTAAAAAGAAATCATCATTCCTCAATATCAAATATCCAGTCAGTGTTTGGATTTCAAATTGTCTAGTAAATGTTGAGATTTTTATTTTTTGTTTTTGTACATTTCATCTGTCTGAATCAAGATCCAAACAAAGTTCACATATTAGAGCTAGTGACTCTTAAGTCTCTTTTAATCTGTATGTTCTGCCTTCATTTTCTCAAATCTTTATTTCCTTGAAGTTTTTTGTTGTTGTTGTTTGTTGTTTGTAAAAGCTAGAACATTTACTCTACAGTTTTCTACTACTTGGATTTTGCTGACTGCATTCCCATGGAACCATTTAACACGTTCCTCTGTCTTCTATATTTTCTGTAGAGAAGGCTTAGACAGATCATGATTTTGTTCGTTTGATTTTTTTATTGTTACCACTTTAAGTATGATGTTAGTTGCCCTTGATTATGAGGATGAAGAAGTCCTCCTCCCCTTTTTTCTTGTTGTTACCCAGGGGTGCCTTACCACTGAGCTATATCTCTAGTCCTTTTATTTTTCATTTTGAGACAGGGTGTTGCTAAATTGTGGAGTCACTACATTGCTAAGGCTGACCATGAACCTGCAGCAAGAGAATATTGGTCTACAGTGTTCTTTTTTACGTCTTTGGTTTTATTATCAGAATTAACCTAGCCTCATAAAATGAGTTAAGTATACCCTTCTCCTCCATTTTCTAAAGACTTTTGTGTTGAACTGGTATTACTCCTTCCTTAAGTGTTCAATTAGACTTTACCAGTGAAGTAACATGGGCATGAAGTTTCTTTATAGGAAGATTTAATTACAAAATTAAGCCAGGAGTATGGTAGCAAATACCTATAATCTCAGTTACTTGGAAAGTAGAAGCTAAAGAATTGCAAATTCTAGACCAACCCGGGCAAATTAACAAGATCCTGTCTCAAAATAAAAAAAAAAGGGGGGGGGGGGGTGAGTTCAGTGCTTGCCTAAGATGGCAAGACCTTGGGTTCAATCCCTAGTATCACCTCTGGAAAAAAAAAAAAAAGAAAAAAGAAAAAATTTCAAAATTAATTTCTTTAATAGATGAATGGCACTTAAATTTTCTATTTATTTTTGAGTTAGCTTTGCCCATTTATGTCTTTCAAGGAAATTTTTCATTTCAGATAAAGTTGTTGCATTTACTGGCATAAGGTTATGCATATTTCCATTTTAATATTTATACAATCTACGGTGATATCATTTTTCTCCTAATATTGATTATCTGGCTCTTCTTTTTTCTTGATTAGTCTCACTTGAGATTTATCAATTTAATTCATCTTTCAAAGAAATCAGTTTGGTTTAGTTGATTTTCTCTATTGCTTGTCCTTTTTTGACTTCTTTATTTGATCTTTATTATTTCTTCCTTCAATTTATTTTACTTTTTCTGTTTTTATTTCTTTAATTAAGGTAGAAATTTAAATCACTGATTTGATATCTTTCTTCTCTCCTAATATAAGTACTTACTGCTGTAATTTACTCTCCCAAATTGATTTAAGACTGGGGAAGTAGCTCAGTGATAGAGCGCTTGCCTAACATACATGACGCCCTGAGTTGGATCCCAAAAACTGCCCTCCCCTACCAAAAAAAAAAAAAAAAAAATCCTTCAATTAATTATAAACCACAAATTTCAATGTCATAATTTTATTTTCATTCAGTTAAAAATATTTTCTATTTTTCTTTGTGATATTCTTTAACTACCAAATATTAGGATGGTCTCCAGATTTACCCTGATAATACCATCTTTTCTGATATGTGGAATTTGTTTTATGGCACACCACATAATCTATTCAAATGCTAGTGCACTTGAAAAATTTTGCAGTTGGGTATGATATTCTACAAATGTCAGCTAAGTCAAGTCATTAATCATGTTTCCCCTCCCCCCTAGTTTTATATACTTGGTGATTTTCTGTCTATTAATTTCTACTTATTCTATTAATTTTAAAATAGAAATTTTAAAATTTCCCATTATAAATATGGATTGTCTGTTTCTCCTCTAGGTTCCCTAAGTCATTCTTTCATATGTTTTGCAGTTCTTTAAAGGGTGCTGAAACTTTAAAGATCCTTATGTCTTCTTGATTAAATTGAATCTCTTATACAATTTGGAAATTTCTGTTTACTGTTGACAATATTTCTTCCTCTGAAATCTACTTAGTCTCATTTTCTATTCTTTTAATTGATGGATGTTTATGGATAGATAAAATATAGGTTTAATGTAGAAGGGTTTTGTAGATAGCATATCCATTGTATATTTTTTCCTAGTCTGATAATCTCTGCCCTTTACTTGAAATATCTGGATCCACTGGCATTCTCAGTAATTATTATATGTTTGTGTTTAGATATATTAATTAACTGATTTTTAGTTGTGCTTTTTCTCATATATATATTTCTTTGAATTTCTTTAATTTTTATTTTGTTATATATGACAATAGAATGCATTACAATTCATATTACATATAGAGCACAATTTTTCATATCTCTGATTATACACAAAGTACAGTCACACCAATCATGTTCTCATACATGTATTTGCGGTAATAATGTCCATCTCATTCTATCGTCTTTTCTACCCCCATGCCTGCTCCGTTCCCCTCCCTCCCCTTTGCCCTACCTAGAATTCATATAATCATCCTATGCCCTCCACCACCACATTATGAATCAGCGAAAACATTTGGCATTTGTTTTTTGGCAGGGATTGGCTAGCTTCACTTAGCATTATATTCTCCAACTCTATCCATTTACCTGCAAATGCCATGATTTTATTCTCTTTTAATGCTCAATAATATTCCATTATTTATATATATATCACATTTTCTTTATCCATTCATCTACTGAAGGGCATCTAGGTTGGTTCCACAGTTTAGCTACTGTGAATTATGCTGCTATAAACATTGATGTAGTTGTATTCCTGTAGTATGCTGTTTTTAGTCCTTTGGGTATACACCAAGGAATGGGATAGCTGGGTCAAATGGTGGTTCCATTCCCAGTTTTACAAGGATTCTCCATATTGCTTTCCATGTTGGCTGCACTAATTTGCAGTACCATCAGCAATGTATGAGTGTGCCTTTTTCCCCATATCCTCGCCAACACTATTGTTATTTGTGTTCTTAATAGCTGCCATTCTGATTGGAGTGAGATGAAATCTTAAGAGTTGTTTTGATTTGCATTTCTCTAATTGCTAGAGATGTTGAACATTTTTTCATATGTTTATTAATTGTATATCTTCTTCTGAGAAGTGTCTGTTCGGTTCCTTGGCACATTTATTGATTACATTAGTTGTTTATTTGGTGTTAAGATTTTTGAGTTCTTTATATATCCTAGAGATTAGTGCTCTATTTGACATGCCTGTGGTAAAAATTTGTTCCCAAATTGTAGGCTCTTTATTCTGACCTCACTGATTGTCTCTTTTGCTAAGAAGATTTTTAATTTGAATTCACCCCATTTATTGATTCTTTACACTATAGGAGTCTTATTAAGGAAGTTGGGGCCTAGTCTGATATGATGAAGATTTGGGGCTACTTCTTCTAATAGACACAGTATCTCTGGTTTAATTCCTATATTCTTGATATACTTCGAGTTTTGTGCATGGTGAGAGATAGGGGTTTAATTTCATTTTGTTGCATATGGATTTCCAGTTTTCCCAGTACCATTTGTTAAAGAGGCTATCTTTTCTCTAATGTAAGTTTATAGCGCCTTTGTCTAATATAACTGTAATTATGTGGGTTAGTCTGTGTGTCCTCTATTCTGTACCATTGGTCTCCCACTCTATTTTGGTGACAATACCATATTGTTTTTGTTATTATTGCTCTGTAGTATAGTTTAAGGTCTGTTATAGTGATGCCACCTGCCTCACTCTTATTGCTAAGGATTGCTTTAGCTATTCTGGGTCTCTTATTTTTCCAGATGAATTTCATAACCGCTTTTTTTTTATTTCTTTAAGTAATATCATTGGGATTTTGATCAGAATTGCATTAAATCTGTATAGTGCTTTTGGTAGTATGGTCATTTTGATAATATTAATTCTAACTATTCAAAAACAAGGTAGATCTTTCCATCTTCTAAGATCTTCTTTGATTTCTTTCTTTAAGGTTTTGTAGTTTTC